TGACACCAGTGTTCTGCTTCTATTACCTGTAAATGCAGCTTAGTTGACTTTAAAAGCACCTGACGTGTTGCTATCGTCTGTCAGAATCATATGAAGCCATTTAAGAAGTTAGAAGAATGTAGAGTTAGTAAACGGTGCAGATTGTGCGTCCACACAAACCTGCTGGACAACACGTGTAATTAAAAGCGACAGGGTGAAATTAAAAGCCAACAGCGGCTCTGACAGAACGATTTGGAGCCGCCGGAGGAACAAAAACAAGAGCCGTGAAACACCAGATCAGCTGCTGACGGTTACCGAGCGCGTGCAGATGACCTCAGCGGAGGAGTGCTGGTGCCATGTCCCCCAGTGATCCAGCATGATTGTAATATCTTCTCACACAAGGTCAGGTAATTAAAAGCCAATCCGAGCTCTGCTGGATGACTCATCGCTCCCGGTGAGGAGGAGGAGGGAGTGCAGTTATTCAGGGATGCTCTGGAGGGAAAGTGTCCACAGAGCTGTGATCAGATCAGAACGCTGGATCGGATCAATCTTTAGGTGTCTCGTTCATTATTAAAAGTACTATAACAATATTTAGATCGTCACACGTTTTCCTTCATGAATCTTGAGCGTCTTGATGAACGAGGCTATATATAGGTGCTTGAAAAATGTTTAAAGGGAAAGAAAAGCAGCATGAACTCATTCAAATGGATAGGACAGGAAAAACAAGCGAGTTAATGCTAATTAAAAGAGTTTAAACAGTCTTTAGCTTAAATAACTACAGTCGTTCTCTAATGTGTTCATAACCTCCCATTAAAGGAAGAATAAAACAGCTGAAATAAGTTGAAATTGACAAACGTAATAATAAATGAAAATGTAATAAAAATCATGACGTTGCTTTTGAATTTTGTTCAACAGAAATATTAAAACAAACAAAACAAAAAACAAGTAAACAAGCATGACGGGACCCGTAAACTAATATTTAGTTGAACAACCCTTTGAGCCAATCACAGCAATCAGGTGTTTTTTTGTTGTTGTTGTTTTTTTTTTCTTTTCTTTTCAGCCACAATTAAAAAGCAACGTCTTGTTTCACTAAATTATAATTTAGCACATTTTTTATTTATTATTACTTTTTTCAGTTTCTACTTATTCGAGTGACTTTTGTGAATTTTACCTTTTATTTAACAGAAGGGTGTGAATGCATTCTGTAAATACAGACATGACGGTGACTCGTTATCAGGCGCAGCAAGAAAGAAAATAACTGTACTGAAAAAACTCCTCCAGGAGTAGTGCATATATACTGTATACGGTGTCTAGAAAATGAGATTTTTGCGCGTAAAGCGGTTCACTGATGTGTGACCAGTAAACGCTCTGAGTCCCTGTGGATGAGAAACAACAGAGCTTTAGTCGTGTTAAGCTGCTGTTACAGTAAAAGCAGGAGTGACTTCTGTCTTTAATGATGCCTCGGTTGCTCTAAATGTCCCAGCGAGTCACGTCCAGTACCACAGACCTGGATCCCTGGAAGAGAATACAGTCCTGAATAAGGTTGTTAGTCACATCTGTGCAGAGGGTAACGGTGATTTACAAACGATACTGTAAACTCTGTAAAATTGCATCATGACACCCAGATGAACACGCTTTGGTCTCGTCTGTCGTCCAGCAGAAGATGTCGTCTCCATGGCCGACTCCACCATCACCATCGAGGACATCGAAGGAGAGCTGTGCAGGATCGAGCGGATACGAGACATCCTCGTGCGGCGAGAGTCGGAGCTGAGATACATGTAAGATCTAAAACATCTGATCTCCACAGACCTCATCTCATTAGTGTGTTTGTAATTCTCTAAACAGGGTTCTGTGACATTAGACCCAAGAGGATAACATATGCATCCTCTATGTCATGTTATTGGTCCTCTGTTGGCACACACACAGTAAAGGGATGTGAACACTCAGCTAGCGGTGACACATGATGCACCACAGCCGTCAGTGGGAGCAAAAAGAAAACCGTCGTGTTATTTAAGGTCTGAGCAGACTAACAGTCACACACACACATTTCTGTAGCTCTTGATAGATGCCCCCAGATGCTTTGGCTCTCACTTCCTCTGTGGAGAACTCCTCATTATTTTGACGTCTGCGGTGGAGACTGAAGGCCGGAGCTGTGTGATGTGACCGTGTGAGGGATCAGAGGAGCTGCTGTTGTTTNGAGAACTCCTCATTATTTTGACGTCTGCGGTGGAGACTGAAGGCCGGAGCTGTGTGATGTGACCGTGTGAGGGATCAGAGGAGCTGCTGTTGTTTTGGGGGTTTGATTTGAAATTTGTGGTTCATGATGGTACAGATCGGCGTCGCTTTGACTCCATGTTGCTGTACGTGTCGACCTTTAGCAGCAACACGAGCAAATGTTTTAGCTTCTTTCACAGTTTTTGAAATAAGACGTTTTCTTGCTAATAGGGATGCACGATATAGCGGCGACCACATCAGTATCGGCCGATATTACCGTAATGTTCAGACTATTGAGGCATCTGAATATAAGCCGCACCCACTAACTTTAAAAAGAAAAAAAAAGTACATATACAGGCCGCACTTGTCTCTAAGCTGCAGGTGTCCCGTTGTAACATGAGATATTTACACAGAAAACTTTTAATTAAATACGTACCGGTAAAATACACAGTGTCTGTAACACGGCTGGTTAAGAAAAAAAAAAACATTAGCAGGAAAAGTCACTGATTGCTATCTTCATCTTCCGATGTCTTCTTCAGTGTCGGAGTTGAACAACCTCAGAATCACTTCGTCACTTCCTCGGTCTCTCTTTCGTTGTCGCTCTCAATTTGTCTCAAGGCAAATTCGTAAAAATCTACAAATTAGCTGCATCATTGTTTAAGCCGCAGTGTTCAAAGCGTGTGAAAAAAGTAGCGGCTTATAGTCCGGAATTTACGGCAATGTTTTAATGATATATCGGTATCGGTTTGATGAACAAATTTAGCCGATGTGAAAAAACGATGGTTTAAAATAAATTGTTTTCTTGCTAATAGGGATGCAGGATAGTACAGATATTACCATAATATTCGGACTATTGAGCATGTGAAAAAAGTAGCGACTCATAGTCTGTAATTTACGGTAATGTTCTAATGATATATCAGTTTTGGTCCGATGAACAAATTTAGCCGATGATTGTCTAACATCAGCGCCTTCGTCTCTATGTTTGATATCGCTGCTGTTTCACAGATGTTTTTACTTAAATGGACATAAATATGTTAAAATATGTTTAAACATGTTTTGTAATAAAGAAGACTATGTGGTCTAATTGGGCTTCTTCTGAACAGTTTTCTCACAGTTCTTACTTATACTCATTTATCAGTGTGAACAAAAATAGAATATCGACATCGTTAATATCGGTTATATCAGAAATCTTAATATCGGCCAGACATTTTAATATTGTTCCTAGACGTGGTTGAACCCAGCAGCTCGTTGGATTTTTATTTGTTTATTAGCATCAACAGGCTCCATGCACACGTCACAAGATCCACCTGTCAGCATATCTAAAGCTCATTTGTATGTCTCATCTGTTAGATAATCAGTTTTAGTGGAGTTGGTGCAGTTAAAGGTGGAGTCTGAGATTCTGGAGGACGATTAGCCTGTTAGCATGTTTCACTAGATTCACTGCCTCCTTTCCCCTCATCTTCTCTGCACAAGCTGAAGTAGTGTTGCGTGAATTTGTCGGAATCATTTTATTTGCTTTCCATTTACAGCCTAGAACTTTATCGATGCAAGCACATGAAACGTACTTGAAGAGACGCTCGCTTCATTTGACAAGAAGTGTTCCTACCAGCTTTTTCCAAAACTATAACATTTAGAGCGCTGTTCTCATTCAGGATGTCTTGTTTGCGTTCATATTCATTCATGTTTCTTTACCGCTGATGCAGACGGCCGCGACGTTTAAGCAAAAATACGCGAGTGCATTTTGAATAAACACTGAGTCACCCTGAAACACATCCAGCTGAAGTGTTTTATTACAGCTCAGAGTGTATCTATTACCGCCATTTCCCTCCTTTTACCGCCACGGCCCACACACAGCGCTCGTGCCACCAGCCCCTGATGTTCTGAAATCCCCACCAGACTCAGGGGCTTGAAATGAGATCTGATACTGCCAGGTGTGATTCACTCACACAGGGCGGCGTGGCGGTGTTATTCCAGCTAATAAACCCGCAGACCTCGCCGTCATCTGAGCCCAAAATCTCACTCCGGTGTTTTTCTATTTGATACGATCGCACAATTTTCACACCGACGCCTGAAGGTACAGTTTGGAGGGAAATTGCTTCGCTGCCACGATCCAATATCCACTCTGTCATAAAGCCAATTGACTGGAAAACTGGTTTCAATCAAAATATGTGGAGCTTTGCTTTAATTAAATCCGCTGCAGATACATATATGCACAGTTTGTGGTGCAAACACTTCCCCCCTGTTTGTTTGTTTCCCGCTCAGGATGGACGACATCCAGCTCTGCAAAGAAATCACACGGCTGAAGCAGGAGCTGCAGAAACTGGTGTCAGTTCCAGGTAAATTAAAAAGCAGCATCTGCCTCCCGCTGCCGTGTTTACCACGTTATATTTAACCTGCACACATTTGGTTGTTTAGAATCGGCACCGGACAGGTTTGTATTTGCTAAATTGAAAATATATCAGCCGGCTGCAGCGACGCGGCGCATTCTTCCCAACAGCAATTACCTGCGCTTCACAATGACAGGAATAAATCAGAAGTGTTGAAAGGAAAACTTTCCAGGTCTGTCGTCAGGCTCTCACAACCTCTCAAGGCTTTTCCCTGGTTTTAAAAACGATGTCTTCTGTCTGACAATGTTCAGCGCTCACGTTGCTCTGCTCATTAGGTTCAGATGGCAGCCCTAATACAGAGGAGGGTTGCTGTGGCAACTAAAAAGATAAGAAGCTCAAGTTACCAAAGTGTTTAGTGCATTTTAAAACTATGGCAACTTTGCAGGATTGTAGCCGCATACTGCAGTAACGTGGTTGTTCTGGGGTCTGTCGGTCCACCGCCTTTATCCTATGACGTGTTGAATAAAACTTTATGACCTTCAGAGCAGACACACCAACATAAGAGCCCCGGTCCTGATTCTGGTTCTGCTCCATCCTTCTCAGCTGTCAGTATCAATACCAATACCAGATTTTTAATAACATTAAAAGTTGAATCTTCCCAAGTTTATCAATCTCTGAACTGCTGTAAATGATAGTACAGACACAGACGGATATAGTGTCAGAAAATTAAGCCAACACAATGCAAAGTGCCTTCAACTTTTTAAAACAGCCAGCAGGGGGCGAGTCCTTTGGTCGCTATAGAAGTCAATGAGAAAATGATCCGACTTCTCACTTGGTTTCCCACCTCAGAAAACATTTTCTAAAGGAGTTTATGAACTCAATCGCTGGTTTCAGGCGTCCTTCAATGCAGCATCATGTTTATTTAGTAAATTATGGTCCCATTTAGAGTGAAATAGACGATAAAGCAGGGTCAGTATATCGCTGTGTGGAGTGGAATAGAGTTCTCCAGGCACCATGGTGACAGCCAGCTGAAGGTTTCGAGTCTGTCTTCTATGTCTGTGGGTAGAGACGTTGATAGTTTCCACAAGATAAGTCCTAGTAATTTGTCTGACTTGTC